TTAGAATGGATAGGTTTGTTCTCATTGCAGTCCAGGGGACTCTCAAGGGCCTCCTCCAGCACCAGAATTCAAAAACATCAATTCTTCAGTGGTCAGACTTCTTTATGGTCCAGCTCTCACTTCCATACATCACTACTGGAAAAACCATAGCTTGGACTATGTGGACCTTTGTTGGCAAGGTGATGTCTCTGCTTTTTAAGATGCTGTCTAGGTTTCTCATCACTTGTCAATGTTTATTCTTGCCCTCTCCTGTTTGACCACCTCCAGCTTCCCAAGGCTCATAGATCTTACATTCCAGGTTCCTATGCAATATTTTTCTATGCAGCATCAGATTTTCCTTTCGCTTCCAGGCTCGTCCACAGCTGAGCGTCCTTTCGACTTTGGCCCCACCACTTCATTAACTCTGGAGCTACTTGTACTTGTCCTCTGCTCTTCCTCAGTAGCATGTTGGACGCCTTCTGACCGGTGGGGCTCATCTTCCAGCGTTTTTTATTTTAGCCTTTTGTTTTTGTCCATGGAGTTTTCTTGGTAAAGATACTGGAGTGGCTTGCCAGTTCTGCTCCAGGTGGATCGCGTTTAGTCAGAACTCTCCACTATGACCTGTCTGTCTTGGGTGTCCCAGCATGGCATAGCCCATAGCTTCTCTGAATTACTCAAGCCACTTGGTCACGACAAGGCAGCAATCCATGAAGGAATTGTAATCTAGTTATGATTCAATCCTAAATGTAATCAGATCTAGAGATGGTCATGTGCCCTGGTTCGGCGGTTCATGCCAGTTCGTACAAGCAGCACCAGAGACACTGTGCATTCCCTCCCCTCACTTACCAGCCAATGCATGCTTCTCTCCTCCTATTCTTCAGCTGTTTTACCAATCTCTGGCAGGTGCACAGGCTTCCCTGCTCCACCTCCCTGACTGATTGTCCATTCAGGCAAGGAGGCGGGACATGGAAGTTCATTCTTCTGCTAGTGACTGGTCGAACAGCTGAAGTGGAGGAGAAGAGCACACATTGACTGGTGAGTAGGTCATAGGCCAGGGAGGTGGGGGAAGGGAACGTGCAGCACCTGTGGTTTGTGCCCATCTCTAATCAGATCCTGAAATTAATGACATGAACAAGCTGTGCTGTCCTGGGGAATTTGGGAGTTGTAGTCCAAAAGAGAAGATGTTTTTTCCAAGGTTAGGAAATAATTCTGCTACATTTGTGGGATGATTTGTGAAAGTGGGTATGTCTCATTAAAAATCTCTGAAATAAAATGTTTGGCTGTTTTGCTCTAGCCTTGCACAGAATTTTTGACAAAGAGAATTATAATCCTGTATGGAATACATGAACATCCAAATGTATCCCAAAAGTGAAGGATGATTGCATGCAAATACCTAGCATGTATTTTTTTAGGATAACAAATTGGGGCAGGGTACATTTCTCTGCTCTGTTGCCCATCTCTGATATTTGGTAAGTGCTTATCAGACTAGGGCAGAGGAACTGGGTAGTCTCTCACTTATTTCACAAAGGTTTTTTGAAAGGAAGACCCCAGCAGAATAGGATTAGGGAAGAGACTGTCATCTCATAGTCTTTCCTACCCTCAGAAAGTTGCCTTCAGAAGAACCAGGGAACTTTCTTTGCAGAGATCATTAAACTCTAGCTATGTTATTGTCCTTTCTTATTTGATTTGATTCATAATTTATCTACTCACTGTATCACAATAAATCAAATCAAATTGTTGATTAAAAAAGAGTTTGTGGACATCTTGTTTATCAGTAATAGAAACTGTGTGGTTAGGTTGCAAGACCTGAAGAAAGAGGATGTGCACACCTCTAACAATTCCAAGGTGCGGATGCTTCTCTGCTGCTAATGAACATGGTTTCGTATCTTGAAATAAGAACTTAAAAGTCTAAGTGAACTGCTAAAATGGAGATGTCTGGAGACAATCAAGAGCAAAGCAAAGCAGAGTTTTCCACATTTAAGAAGCATATACAGACAGCTTATCAGTGGAAACTGCATATACATTTAATTCTCTTAATTGAAGAATATTCTTTTTCTTACTCCTTGGCTTAACATCACTGCAGTAGAGAAGAGTCTCCTTTCACCCACCCAATAAAGCAGCATCAAAGAAATAGTGTCACTGAAGTTTAAAGGAATTCCTGTGTGCTAATTTTGTCTCTTTCATGAAAAAATCCTGGCATAAAAACTGTACTTATCTTCAGTTATATTTTTGATCCAATCTCCAAAAGTTTTATTCAGTGATTCACTTTACTTCCACAGAAGACAAAAAAGACTGTTATTATCTCTGATCTGGCTTCTGTATCTTGCTTCACGTGTGTGTAGATATGAACTCTGCCATCATAACCCTTTTCTTCTCTTTCCTTTCACTGCCTTCTTTAATAAAGGGAAACAATTTTATACAATGAGATTACAGCAAACTTTGATTATTAACATAGTGTTCTGAATCTCACAGTGTGAACACAAGTAAAGAAGTTCAGCAGAAAAATTCCTGTTAGGAATAGGTGACTTTCCCCAAAGCTCCCCATCTTAACCTGAAATTGTCCTGAGCTCTAACCCTCAAACAGATTTAGCTGATTACCAACTGACTGTCAGCTGATGAGAGACCACAGCCCTAGGAAAAAAAGTCCCTCAGGAGAAGGGGTGCAAGTCTTTGTCTGTTTCTCACCTCAGGGAATGAAAAATTAAAAAACTCCTCCCCACTAAGCAAGGATAAAATCATTCTTTTTACCTTTTTGTTTTTGTTTTGTTTTGTTTTTGTATTTCTAAGGAGGAAAGGTTTGGGGACATATCACTTACATTTTGTACACTACCTCCAGTATTCTGTGGAGAAAACTGGAATTTTATGCATAAATAAAAATCCTACCTTTGTACTTGGTACAAAGAAAATGGAGATTTGTGCAATACAAGCTGTTGTGCAATTACTCCCTATATTTTTGCTGATGAAAAAAGCACTCGTCATTCCACACCCGGAACTCCGTGTGTGTGCGATTCATTCATTCATTTATTCATTCAGTAACAGTTGAAAGTTTCATCAAGTGGTTTTCTTGATGCATAGAGACATGTTTTTATTGAGGATGAAAAAAAAATGTGAATGTTCATTAGAACTGTACTTGTCAGCCAATAGGTCACTTTGTTCCTTAATGACAAACATGTAAGGTTGAGGAGATCAAAGGCTGATAGAATATGTGGTGTTTCTCAATTGACAGATTCTTCTACTACAATGAAAAGACACCGTGTTGCTATTTCACCTTTCCTTCCTTCATGGATTTCTTTTGTATGTGTGTGGAGAAAAAGTATTGGAAGGAGCAGTGGGGAAATATAGGAGGTTTACAGGAGGAATGCAACAATATCTTCCCCCTTATAGGTAGTTCTCTATAGAGGACAGGTAGTAATGTTCACAACTGAGAAAATCTTGCAAAGAATTTATTTACTGCTCATAATCTAAAGCAGATCTTAATCCAACCCTTTTCTTCTTCCTTGGAACCAATCTTCTTAACATTAGCATCTTTTCTTTTGTGAATGTTCAGTAATGACAGCTAGAAATCAATAGATGGCATTCATTTTACATGATTCTTTAAAAAGAAAGCACAGATCGCATTTTTTCATTTAAAAAGTGATAACTTTTTAATAGCACAGTTCAACTGAATGCAAATAATAATATAATAATGAAATGTTGTAGCACAGAAATCAGATAGAATGAGTGCAAAGTTCAATATTGCAGAATGATGGGAATTATAGTATCATTACATTTGCAGGGTAAAAAGACAAAGTTGTTTTAAGATAGTGGCATGTCTCTTGCAACAAACTGGATCTTAAAAAGGAGTATTAGACACATTTCCCTTTGCAGTTTCATTTATTTTGCTAATACTTGGTCAAAAAACAACACTCGATAGTATTTCTAAAGAGCTTTGTCATTCGCAAATCATGAAAGTGTCATTTTCCAAGTCTCGGTAATTAATTAGCACCTTGTCATTTCCCCCCCACTCTCTCCTCTGCTGATACAGTACTTAAGTGAATGGAAAAATACATTGTTGGATAAGTACAGTGGCATGGTGGTGCACTTCATTGTGCCTTTTCTAATCTATGCCATATCTTTATCTCAGCCTGGATTATAACTATTTTAAATAGTGTGGAGGTATTCTGGACCCCTTTCACCGAACGTTATCTAGATTTTCTTTATTTTCCCAAGTGCCCTAAGATCTCTGTATAGCCACACAGACTAGAAATCCATAGATTCCCAGGACATTTCCAAACTGTTATAGAAGGGTGACAGTGTCCATTTTAATGTGCAGACCTTAAGGGCTGTGTTTGCCCTGACAATCTCCAGCTGGCAGTCCCAGAAATCAGAGATTATCCATTGCAGACAACAGGACTTTATGCTTGTTACAAGGGTTTGCTATATCCCCCCCTTGCACAAACAGCTTTAAAATCATACACAGAACAGTCCATTCCAATTGTGTTTTCCTCCAACAGGATATTGACCATCACCTATTTCTTGTGGCCCTTCCTTACATCAGGATAGCATGTCCAATGGCTCTTTGTGACAGTTTAGAAGGCAAAAATGTTTCAGAACAGCCTTAAATTAGGCTTGCTATCTCTATCAGACCTCTGTTCCATCTTTCAGATTTGCACCTCTTCTTCCCTGATATCAACCATTCTGAAACCAGAAACAAGCTCAGTGAACTAAATAATCTGCAGGCACCATACTGTGCATTGCATATCCATTTGTTATGCTCTTGCCTAAAGAGTTAGATTATTTGAACTCTTATCATGACTATTTTCTTTTTTTAAATATCAAGATATGCCATCCAAATAAGTGTGAGGTGACACAATGAAGATTTAAATGTTTTTTTTAAAAAACCTTTGAAATGTCTTAAATGAGTTCTCAGTGAAGAAACTTTTAAATGATTATTTATTATTCCTTTTTGTTTGTTTGTTTGTTAAGAAACCTTGTTGGATAATAAGTGACAAATAACATTGATTACATGTAATTTATTTCAGGGAGAGGATGGACTGACTGGTGCTCCTGGTGAGAAGGTAGGTCCAGTTTATATCCATTTAGTACAATTGAAGTTCCTCATTTCTCCTTTTCCATTACTTTTTATACAGAGCAAAGAAAAGATTATGATGTTTGTTTTCAAAAACCCAAGTTCCTCCTTTACCTACTAAACTCAGAGGCTGACCTTGCTAACATCCTGCGTATATCTGAAGGTCCTGTTGGGATGGTAAAACAAGGGTGCCGTGTATGTCATACTAACTTATTTGATGAAAATATAAATTTAGGAAGTAAATAAACAAACCCAAATGTAGTCAACAAATGGACTAGGAGGGGAACACCATTGTGACTCCCCTCACACCCAGATAGAATCAGTTGTTTGCTATAAAACAATATATTGTGGGCAAATATTTTCTCTTGGCACCAAAAATATCACATGCAGAAAAATCTCACTGTAAGGGCAAAGGACTGTTTTTAACTCCCCAGTTTCTTTCCGAGAGTTACAGGCTGTAAGATTCATATTCCTTTTCCAAACTATCACCTGTAGTTTTATATAATTACCTTAATATCAAGGCTTTAAACTTTCCCAGCTTAAGATATCTGAAAAAAAAACAAAGATGTCAAATTGCTGTGATAACTACTGACTATTTATGGTCCTAGAAATTTTGATCTGCTGCTATTATTTAATGTTTTTGTTATTTGTTGCTGATATTTCTGACTAATTACTTTCTAATCTACTAATGTGTATTGTTTAAATGTAATATCAATATTTTTGTGTTAATTTTGCTATTATAAACTAGGGAGGATCATTTGTTCTGAAATTTCTTAACTAAAGAAATAGCTTAGTATGTAAATAATACTGTACTGTGTCATATCAGTACCTCTGTGGGTACACTACTTCCAAAGTCTTCCTGGTGAAACTTTGGACAATATAAGGTCTTCCTGCCTCATAAAATTCAATCAGGGCACCCAAATTTCATTGCTGTAACCCTCCTAAGTTTTTTCACTGCTTCTTCCATCTTTTTTTCTTATCACAGAAACCTTGCTAAGACAGGAAAGATGGAAGGGACTCCAATTTCTGATTGGTAGCATTAGGAGCTCTCTATAGAAGCACATTGTATATGTCTCCAAACAATGTACTACTTCTTTCTGTGTTGAAAATATAGAATGCTTTATAACATGTTTACTTTTTATGATTTTTTGTATTTATGAGAAAATCTATATTATTGACAATTAACTCAGCTTTGTACTCTGTGGTGTGTGTGTTTTTATTTGTGTGTCTCTATTGCCTAGATAACAGCTTTTGTAGTTAGCCCCCTTTCCCCCTCAGCTACCAGCGAAGCATTATTTTACAGAAAACAGTACTTGGGTGGCCACTTTGACTGCCCATTTTCACGCACAAAAGAAATAAAACTCCTGCTTGTCAGCTACTCTATTGCTAATAAAAACTTTGGTGCTAAAAATAGCACTCTGCGTTTTATCCATCATGAATACTTCAGTAGCAATTTTAGCTGTTAAGTCAGGTTGGCCTTCTTTTTTGGCATTCATGTGGCTATTGGGAATATAACCAAAAAGAATATGCTCAGTGCAGAAGTGAACGACTGAAGATCATCAGCACAAAAAACTATTTTAACAGGCCACAAGATTTCCCCTATCGCCAATATATAGGCTCACTGAAAAGCATTAAGGGGATATACACCTCATTTCCAGTCTGTAAAATAACAAAGATGGTTCAAGCTGTTTAGACATAAGTTGGAATTGTCAAGTATGCTCAAGATGTTTTATGTGAAATGTGAGATTTTTCTTCTCCTAGCATTTATGCTTTAAAGAGGATGTTTCTTGATTAAACTCACGTTATTGCTCTTTTTTAAATTCAGAGGAAAATATTTTAGGATTTTAGCATTAATATTAGTAAATATGACATAAACAAGTGGGAATGGACCCCATGAGCCTTCTGCTTTAAAAAAAATCATTGTATGTTTTACTTTGTCCAGCAGAGACATTTCTTTTGCAACCATTGTTTTAAATGTTCTATGTGCTATCTGACTTCTTTTTGTTTCTCCCACAAACAGGGCGAACATGGCCTGCAGGGTGCCAAAGGTGAAGCGGGCGAAAAGGTAAATAGTACCAGGTTTTACACATTGACTTTGTTTGGTGCAACTAAACCTTTAAAAAGTAATGCCCAGTGTCACAGGAGATCCAGTCCACTTACAAAACTACTGCTCCCTTGTAGGATAGTGATAAAGGATTTTTCCTTAAGATACTATGGTATTCAGTATAGGAATGAAACATTCCAAAAATGTGGTAATTACTGTTTCGGTTGAATTTGGGTATGCTACTCATATTTCATCTTAAACCTAGTCTAGGAAAAACATGCCTGGTGATTTCTATTTTAAGTTTGCTAGTAAAATTTTGCTGTGTATCTGCGCAGGAGCTGTCAACTCTTTTTAGACAGTTTTTGAGGTTTGAGACCAGCTGCCAGACAAGAGGTTTAGTTTGAAAAAGAAGGGCAGGTGAATAGGCCTTATCTGTCAGTGCTAATTTGACTGATGACTTCATGGCATCCCCACTGGGTTGCGAGGTTGCCAGAAGCCCCATGTAAACCTGCAGGCTATTACTGAGTGTCAAAACTAGACTTTTGTGGGTGACATGCCGATCCGCTACATTCAGGAGAAACAGTTGGAAAGTGATTATGCTGGTAAAGAACATGGAGCAGATTGAAAATGATATGTTTCCTTTTAAAGGCTGTGTTGTTTTGACACACATGCCTTGTGTGTTGTATTAAGCGGCCATAATGGAATTGAAAAGATGACAGGGTTTTCTTCACTTGATTTACATAAGGTGCTACTCTAGCTGGCTGACTGGAGTGGATGTATCTACGAGTATCTTTAAGGAAGGGAAAACAATAATGCTTTTCCTGAGTACAGATGAAACATTACTGAAAACTGTACCTCTGCTGGTAGTTCAGTAATTGGAGTTATTGGCCAAAATCTAATCAAAGTTTTCCATGTGTATACAGGGTTTGCAGAAGCCTCTTTCACATTTTCAAGGCTGCCTGTTGCATGACCAAATTGCACAGCTAGAAGACCCAATACTTGACAGACATCTGGGAGAGCGGCTAAGTTAATTTGGTAGTTGCCTTCAGTCAGTTGCATAGGCCTCTAGCCCTTGTCTACAATTGACTAATGCTTTGCAAACTTTGAGTCTTTGTGCACCATTGTTACTGCTTCTGGGAGTTTCTTTGTAATTCATGGGAATATATTTGCCCCATCCTATCTTGGTCCTGATTCTAAGAGTGTGTATTCCTGTACTCACAAAATAGATTTAATGGGGTTCTTTTTTCTTGTTGTTTAGTCGTTAAGTCGTGTCCGACTCGTCGTGACCCCATGGACCAGAGCATGCCAGGCCCTCCTGTCTTCCACTGCCTCCCGAAGTTGCGTCAAATTCATGTTGGTTGCTTCGATGGCACTGTCCAACCATCTCATCCTCTGTTGTCCCCTTCTCCTTTTGCTTTCACACTTTCCCAACATCAGGGTCTTTTCCAGGGAGTCTTCTCTTCTCATGAGATGGCCAAAGTATTGAAGCCTCAGCTTCAGGATCTGTCCTTCCAGCAAGCACTCAGTGTTGATCTCCTTCAGAACAGATAGGTTTGATCCCCTCCAGGGGACTCTCAAGAGTCTCTTCTACTCTGTTGTCCCCTTCTCCTTTTGCTTTCACACTTTCCCAACATCAGGGTCTTTTCCAGGGAGTCTTCTCTTCTCATGAGATGGCCAAAGTATTGAAGCCTCAGCTTCAGGATCTGTCCTTCCAGCAAGCACTCAGTGTTGATCTCCTTCAGAACAGATAGGTTTGATCCCCTCCAGGGGACTCTCAAGAGTCTCTTCTAGCACCACAATTCAGAAGCATCAATTCTTCAGTGGCCAGCCTTCTTTATGGTCCAGCTCTCACTTCCATACATCACTACTGGAAAAACCATAGCTTTGATTATGTGGACCTTTGTTGGCAAAGTGATGTCTCTCCTTTTTAAGATGCTGTCTAGGTTTGTTATCGCTTTCCTCCCAAGAAGCAGGCATCTTTTAATGTCATGCTGTCACGATCTGCAGTGATCATGGAGCCCAGGAAAGTAAAATCTGTCACTGCCTCCATATCTTCCCCTTCTATTTGCCAGGAGGTGATGGGACCAGTGGCCATGATCTTAGTTTTTTTGATGTTGAGCTTCAGACCATTTTTCACCCTCATTATGAGGTTCTTTAATTCCTCCTCACTTTCTGCTAACAGAGTGGTATCGTCTGAATATCTGAGATTATTTCTTCCAGCAATCTTAATTCCGGCTCCGGAGTCATCCAGTCCTGCCTTTCGCATGATGTATTCTGCATATAAGTTAAATAAGCTGGGGGACAATATACAGCCTTGTCGTACTCCTTTCCCAATTTTGAACCAATCCGTTGTTCCATGTCCAGTTCTAACTGTTGCTTCCTGTCCCACATATAGATTTCTCAGGAGATAGATAAGGTGGTCAGGCACTCCCATTTCTTTAAGGACTTGCCATAGTTTGCTGTGGTCCGCACAGTCAAAGGCTTTTGTGTAGTCAATGAAGCAGAAGTATATGTCTTTCTGGAACTCTCTGGCTTTTTCCATAATCCAGTGCATGTTAGCAATTTGGTCTCTAGTTCCTCTGCCCCTTCGAAATTCAGCTTGTACTTCTGGGAGTTCTTGGTGCACACTGCTGAAGCCTGCCGTATAGGATTTTGAGCATAACCTTGCTAGCGTGTGCAAATGAGTGCAATTGTACGGTAGTTGGAGCATCCTTTGGCACTGGCCTTCTTTGGGATTTTGCTATAAGAAGCTGATGATCAGAGCCACAATCAGCTTCAGATCTTGTTTTTGCTGACTGTATAGAGCTTCTCCATCTTTGACTGCAGAGAACATAATCAATCTGATTTTGGTATCGTGTTCCATCACATTTAGTCACAACTCTCCACTATTGCAATACTATTGCAATTATTTGTCTTACAAATAGCAGCTCTTTGCTTTGAGCCAATTTGTAGCCTATCTGTTTCAATTTGCATCATAATAGTGGAAAGTACTTGGCTGGGTACAAATAGGGAAAATCAAAGGTTCTGACCTCTTATGGGGGGTATGTGTGAAACTCACTGCCATCAGCTACTACTGGACCTCCAGTGTGCATGTAAATCTCCCATTTCCTTCCTTCCTTCCAATTGACATCCGCAGTTACCAAAAAAAATCCCCACCCCCAGTGCACACTCACCCTATTGGAAATGAGAGCAATGAAGCTAGCCATCTCTAATAGACTAATTACTTTCATCTTCTGAGTGTCACTGATACCAAGTATTTCTTTTTAAAAATCCTCAGCTTTTTGAACTGAAGCACCAAAGCCTCAATTTGATTCAAATGCAACTCTGGACTACTTTGCTTCACTTCATATCTGTTAGGAAACTGACAAATACCCCGGCTTTGCTTTGCATTCTGTATAATTTCTGAACCGAAAGCAATTCCTTTCTTTCTCTCATTTCTAGATCAGATGTATGTGTCCTTGTGATACTTCTCCATTTATGTCTTTATTGCCTACTGGGAAGTCCCAGGTTGCACTCTATATCCTCTAAATGACAAATGAAACATTGTTGGGTACAATACCATATTCTGAACATTTCCACTGCAGAGCCGGGATGACTTGTTAGAAGGACATATGGAGCTTGTGGGCAGCATGGCATGCAGTTTTCTTGGTGGAGAGGCAAATGAAATCGAAGGGTATAATGTCTGTTTAGTGAAATTTCCCATTAGCTGGAGCAGTGTAATGCCCCGAGGCTTATCTGCTGAATTCATATAATAGTCTGCTCTCATAAAAAATAATCAGTTGTACATCGGGGAGAGGGATGGGACTGACTGTGTCAAAGCAACTAAGCAAAGGTTTCTGAGTGCTGCTTGTATCATGAACAGCAGCCCTACATGCACCTTCAGAAGCTAGAATTGCAATTCTTTTAAGTTTCCAAAGTTTCCAGGGACCATGAGCATAACCAACTAGTGCACATCTTAAAACGGTAAGTCTTTTATCTGTAGAGCAAGGCAAAACCACCCCACAGCATTTAAAACACTCTTTGGTCAGTTTATAATTTAATTATGCAGACTATAATTGCCCGCCCCCAGAAAGCTGAGTACTCAATTTGCTGATCTGAGTAGGATGGAACCTTGAGCAGGCTACCTGGGGATGGAATCTGGGATGTGAGCAGAGTTTTGGCTGCAGTATTGCAGTTTAGCCACTGCTCCATGAGGCTCCTGGTAGTACAATGTATTAGAAGTAATCTGATCATGAAAGCTACAAATGACACACCAGGGAGAGCAAACTAAGCATCAACATTCATTATTATGTTAGCAGTTTTGTGATGGGTGTGATAAGCACCTCCTGGGAAGTCTGTTGAGGATGACTGTATTTTTAAATTATTACTCTTTTAATGATTTTAAGTAGCTCACCAGCAGCTGTGCCAAAGCATCCTTGTGTCTTATGCTGTATTTTATATGGACCTCAGGTCATGACTCCAGCTGCTGCTGCCACTCTCTTGAACTATCTGTGTGTCGTTTTATTTCACTTGAAGAAACAGCCTTTAGAAAATTTAATACTATAACAGCTCTCTGATTTGGGTTGTTCTTTAATGATTTTCCAAAATAGTGCAAAAATAAACAAGTATATAATAAACAGGAACAAAAAGGTGGTGGAAACAACTGGATCTATGAAAGATACTACTCTAATGCTACTGCCTCTGAACCAGAAGTTTAAATGAAGAAAATACTTGAAAGTGCCTAGGATATGGGAAAAGTATCAAGCCCGTATCTTGAAAGTTTTTTTAAAAAAATTACTAAATAGGGTTTGAGTCACACAAGTTTAGACTAAAAGTCTCATTCTCATTATTTTGTTAACAAAGTTCATTCAGTTCTTGTAGTTGTGATAGGATTCTGACCACCGAAGGGGCGTGTCTCTCTGTCACAGCTTGTGCGTACTGCAACCGTGCAACACCATTGCTTCTGTTTTGCCTCCTGCACTCATTCATGCCTTCTTGCTCTGTTGCTGTCTGCTGTTGTTCATGTTTGTTAATTTCTGTTG